GAAACATTGAAATGGAAATATGTCTTGATGCATTGCACGAGTACCCTTCTAGTATATATATATATATATATATATATATATATATATATATGGATTTTAAATCGAAGATAATGAAATTCTACTTTTTATGGTATTTATCATTGAAATAAAATATAAATTATATTTTAGAAAATTTAATTTAAAAATAAATTGGGTAATCTAATTGTTATTTAAAATAAAATAGATATTTTTTTTGAAAAAAGAGTGGATTAGTGATTTTATGGCTTGGATTAGTAATTTAATTGGAAAATTGTACCAAAATAAACCAACTTTCACCTGATTCCTATCTTGGGGAACCAACTTTCAAAATCGTCGTTTATGGGTCTCTATCAAATTTTTTGTTTATTTAAGGATCTGGTTGACCTGTTGACTTGTTAATGCTGACATCATCCAGATCTTTTGCCAACTAAGATATTTCATATCATATTAAAATTTTATTTTAAAACTAATATTTCATGTCATATTTAAAATTGCAAAGTAATTATAGACAAATAATTAAAATTCGTTTTTTTTTCAAAAATTAATGCAATAAAATCTATTTTTCATTCCAAATCTCTTTTAAAAAAAAAATCAAAATTCAAATTGAAGATTTTTTCAAAAAAAATCCAAATTATCAAAATAAAAATTGTTTTTACTAATGCAATAAAAAATTAATTTAATAGAAAAAAATTAATCGATGCAATAAAAAATAAATATTAAATATCAAATTCAAGATTTTTATATCCAACCAATCCAAATCAATTTTAAAGTTTAAATCAAATTTGGCAAATCATACCAAAATAAAAGTTTGTTCACAACATTCAAATCATCAAGATTAGAAAAAGCCGATGACAAGACATTGTTACAAAAAAAATGGTTGAAAATCTTCAATCTTCGACTGCTTGAATCATCCTTATCAAAGTTAACCATCAACCGTAAATTATGGAACTGATTGAACTTCATTAAGAATTTGTGCATCACCTATATCAACTTGCCCTATGTAAACATATGCAAGTTAGTGCAAATATGTAAATTATATGCAAATATGCAAACAAAGTGTGATTATACATATTGAAAATACCTTCCCTAGCAATAATTGGTATACTCGTCTCAAAACTGACCTGTGAAATCTGTAACATAAACACACTTTTAGCTACAATATTTGATTCATTCAAACACAATGTGAATCACAATTGTTATACTTACTCCTATAATCGTACCCCGTGAACTCGTATCTCTTGAACCCCTTCCTCTTATATTGCTTCCAATAACTAAATCCTCCTTTTCTATGTTGTTTTTTCTTGGTCTACCAACTGGATTTTTTGGCCGAATCGGTGCATCTTTCTTTTTATTTTTACAACTCCTAGAATTATGTCCTACCTCCAAACAATTTCTGCCAGTCATCTTTCTCCCCGATTTGGCTATAACTTCAAGGCCGTATGCCTTTCTTCTAGTGTGACTACTTCCTTGACTTGCATCTTTTCTTCTGGCTATTGTAGGCCTGCCAGGCATGCGTCTAGACTTTGGGGGCAAAAGTTTGGCAAAATCTATCCTTGGCCAAAGTTTGATCCCATTCAAATGGTTGATCCTGTGATTATATATATGTATTAGTGAAATTTATTTTTGAGAACGAAGGAGACATAAACTTAGCCGGATCTTGGTGAATGATGTATATGGATGCAATAACATGCGGACAAGGAATTCCAGAAACTTGCCAACTTCTGCAAGTGCATGTTCTACATTGAGTGTCGACAACAAAACCCTCTAGTCCTTGTCTTACTTCAAAAAGATTCCCTCCATTTGAAGCAACACACCAAAACCTGCAAAAAAAAATATTAGAAAACCATAATGTAATATTTATGAAACAAATGACCTTATATGCATAAAGCATAATAATCATAAACATACCACATTAGCTCATTATTTTGCTCAACTTTCTTTTTTATATTTGGATAGAATTCATCATCCCAGTTGCATGCTTTGTTGCTCATCCTAACCATTCTTTCCATCACAAGAGAACTAATCGCCTCGAGCATTGTTATTATAGGTTTTCTCCTAGATGAGACAATTAAAGAGTTAAAATATTCACTTGCTCCATTTTCTACAGCATCACATGATGTGTCGATCTTGAAGAAAGCCCTTGACCATGTTGACGACTATCTTTCCATCAAATGTTCATAAGCATGGGGAGACAAACTTTTATTTTCTTGCATAATTCCTTCAAATTCTTGTGGTGTCCCTCACTTGGATGCAGCCAAAACAAAGATCTGAATTGGATACCGGTGTACTTCTTCCTGAAATTAGCGTATATGTGTCTAGCACATTGACGATGCTCAACAAGTGGGAATACCTCTTTAACAGCTTCAACAAGTCCCTGCATTAGCATAATGCAATTAACTAATTAGAAGATCACATTCATAATAGATTAACAAGTGTGTGCAATTAATTATTAGTATACTATTTATTACCTTATGTTAATCTGACTTCAATGTTACCCCTAACCCATCGGTCAATCCAATGTCCTCCATTAGAAAAATTAAAAACCACTTCCAACTGTCTTTATTTTCAACCTCCACCACTGCCCATGCAAGAGGATATATCTGGTTGTTACCATCTTTCCCTATCGCACTTAACAACTCTCCCTTGCATACAGTTTTTAGAAAACATCCATCCAAGACAACAAATCCTATACACCCTGACAACCAACCTTCTTTAATACCCTTAAAACACACATAAAATCTTTGAAAATGATTTCTATTATTTGGTCCTACCTCGACACTAATTTTAACCGTTGATCCTGGATTACTCCTTCTAATCTCCTCACCATAGTCCCATAACTTTCTGTAATGCTCAATTAGAGCCGTTTCTACTTCCCCCAATGCCTTGGCCTTAGCCCATTGGCATCGACTTAACTGAACAATGCACTTGTATTTTTTTTAAATGGATTCCTTCAAATCAACTCACTTGATTGATGGGTTTTGTCTAATCTTCCTCCCATATTGTTTAGAAATCCAATTGGAATTCACAAAGTGAACCTAACATGTAATTTCTCCTACACTTGTGCTCATCATTTAGTGACTTGACTTGGAATGATTTTTCATCCTTCATCCAAGATGCCCACAATCTCCATGGACAACTATTTTCATATCCTCTTTTAGGCGGTCCACACATAAAATGTAACTTGTCTTTGTTGTTTTTTAGATACCTTCATTGATAACATTATGTCAGAAAAATGTTAGTAATTACATAATAAGTGTATGTAAGTCAATAAGATAAGTATCATACCTAAATTGAAGGACATTTGAAAGCGCATAATTTGCCAAACAATTCTTTACCTCAAAGGCCGATGCATATCGTTCACCAACTAAGGCTTCATTAAGTTCCAAGGAACATTTGGATTGTGAATAAGAAG